TCCCGGCCGAATGCTGTCGACCACAGCCGCGCCAGGGGCCGTCTTTGCATACTGCAAGCCAGGTGCATCGGCAGGACCGACGACAAAGAAGGATGCATCATGACCACTGGCGACAAGCACCCCGAGCGCGCTGTCGTGGCTTAAGCTGCTCCCCAGCCCAACTGCCTGCGACTTGATGTACGCATTGGTCCGCATGTCCGCCTGTGCAGCGGCATTGGTCAAGTCGCACTCGTCTCTGAGCGCCAAGATGTCGTCGCCATCGTAGCATGTCGTCAAGAACAACTTTCCGGTCTTGGGCTCGGCCACGATGTCATTGATATCGTAAGTGGCTGCCCAGCGCACAATCTCGCCAGTCTGCAGGTTTAATCTCTGTATGACACCCTCGCCCCCGAGGTAGTCGGTCTGGTTCCAGGCCAGGGCGGCAAACTCGTCACTGTAGACAGCGATGCTCATGTGCAGATACTGATTCCACTTCTCAGGCCAAAAGTCCGCTGTCCCCGTCCTCGTGAGTTCCAGAATCTCGTGAGGTTCAAGTACCTCCGATCGATCCGACCACTGTTCCAAGAATACCTGGAAATCATCCCTGCTAGTCACCGGAAAGATTCTGGCGAGCAAGGTCCCGGAATCCAAAGACCAGCCATCTGCAGCCTGCACGCGCCAAATCCAGATCGGGCTCCGCAATCCTCCATCATTCCCGACGACAGGGACTTCGTCGTCCTTGCTCGAGGTCATGTTGCCCGTGCAGGCCAAGACGAGATCCTGGCAGGGCAGCGCCGCCGCTGCCAAAACGTCACGCGGGCAGCGCAAGCAGAGGCGCGGCAACTTCAGGACCGAGAGCTGCAGCTCTGTGGCTCCTGGCTCCAAGGATCCGAGCACTTCCGTCTTCTCCACAACCCGGCTCCCGGAGAGGAAGCGCAAATCCGTGCAAGGCGGTGCTCCCATCGCTGCTGTTACCTCTGGGCCCAGCTCCTGAAGCTTGCTGGCAGCGCTCCGGCTCACGACGATGATCAAGTCCCCCGTGGAGGCGTTGAAGATTTTCAGGGTGAGCATGTCTGCCGAGGCCGCCTTTGTGGGCTCCACCCAAACTGTACGGAACGGGAGGACGTTTAGGGCTTCGTTTTTCCTCTGTGCTGACGCCAAAGCCAGGTAACAAGCCTTCGAAATCTAGAGGCCAGAGGCCCTTGACATGTAGAAGCCTAAATAGCTTCTGAAATTCTTCCTTGGGGCTCCTCCTTATCAGTATACTCTAAGATACCTCCGAACCCTATTCTAACCACTGAGGCCGCTACAATAGAGGTTCTGTTTCTAGTATCGTCAATGCGGGGGGGGGGGAGAAGAGGCTGCCGGCTTCACCGGGTACCGCCACCCTAAAGCAGAGCCCCAAACCCCCAAAACCCCCTAAAAAATCCCCAAGTGTAGACCCTAAAAGCCCCCCAAAAACCCTAGATCCCAACCCCAAAATACTAAGCTTGGCCCCAAACTCTGACCTCGAACCCTTTTAACCCCCCACACCACAACCCCTTTTGAGCATATGTGAATATGTATCAATAATATAAGGGGCCCCAAAACCCTCTTCTATTTGTTAAGCCGCCTGTGCTACACCCTGATAGTACCCTCATAGTATCCCTGGAAGGAACCCTTTGAAGGACCCCTACTCTCACTATTTTAGACCCCTTTCCCTAAACCCCAGAACCCAAAACCCTAGACACTAATTCTTTAAGGCCCCGACCCCTACTCTCATTATTTAAGACCCCGTTCCCTCATTCCCAGAACCCAAAACCCTGGACCCCCCCCACTAATAATAAGGCCCCTATATTCGCTCTTCGCCCTCCCATCTGCTGACCTCATCGACCTCGCCGGTCAGCCGATCGACTTCCGCCCTGGCGCGGAGCAGCTTTCCGCCTGGGCTCGAAAGGTTCTATAAGGGATCTAGGTGTACGTGTATATGTGTGTGTGTATATATATATATATTATTACACCTATATGTCTATATCTGTATGTATATATATATATACATGTACATGCATATACATATGCATGTATATATGTGTTTTTCATTTGTTTTGGCATTGGCCCTTTCTTTGTGCTGGAATACTATTACGGGGTTTTTAAGGGTATGTGTGTTCTGAAATGGTTTATATGGGTTCTGTAAGGGATCTGTTCTGTGCGGGTTCAACGGCTTGTTTTGGGAGTGGGGGGATACTTACTTGAGGCTCAGGGGAACTAGTAAGTTTTTGGTACTTTAATTGTGGTTGCAAGTAACTGCAACTCCTTACTCGCATATCAAGTTCCCTGATCCTTTGACAAAGCACGGTTCATTGGGGCTCAGGGAATTATCGGGATACACAGTAACTTTCAGCATTCAGAGTGTAAAGTTCAGGTGAAATACATGCATTACTAAAAGTATGACAGTTATGCAACTGCTTGAGCTCGCAGGGTATGTAAACTGGGTGTAGGTTACATCTGCCATACTCTATGCGAAGCATGCCACAACAGTTGTCTGTCTGTCTGTCTGTCTGTCTGTCTGTCTGTCTCTGTCTGTCTGTCTGTCTGTCTGTCTGTCTGTCGGTCCGTCTGTCTGCCCATATGTTTACGTACATACGGTCATGCCTGCGTACTTCAACAAATGCACGCAAATGCACATGGGAGAAGTAAGCAGATGCCTGCAGTATCTACAGAGATCCGGGAGTCTACACGGTCAACTCGACGATCTACGATTTGCTTGCTACTCGTGAAGCTTTCCCTCCGCAGCTGTGCAATATGAAACGTTTGTTGCATAAACAGATGTGCGCGCACACACACACACACGCACACACGTAGTTAATGAGCATGTTTGTCAGTAATGCAGTATCTGCACAAGGACAACAACATTCAAACTTAACCGCCAAACTTTATTGGAATGTGGATGCTGCAGTATTACAGAGGCCTTATTGGGGTTCTGGGGCATATTGCACTATAATGATGATAAGGGGCCATGTAATAGTTAGTAACTCTGTAGGATTCTGTAGTAGGCATATTACGATGTTGTGCCGTGCAGCGATTTCTCTCCAGGCGATCGTTGCCGTCGGGCCCGGCACGGTAAAGGTTGTCGTTCAGGCGCTTCAACTGGGGCCAAGAAAATGGAAGTTTCGGTTCTGTCGGCTGATCGGTTCAGCTTTCCGGCACCTTTACCGGGTGCTAAACCCGTGTTGATATCCGAAAAGCCCTCCCCAGACCACTAATTAAAACCCGTAGAAGTCGGCATCCAGAAGTTCTTAACAACCCGGGAGGCCCTTCTTCCTTAAACATTGCAGAACCCAAAAGCCGCAGCCCACAAGGCAAACATACACCAGAGACTAAGCATGCACATGTACGTATGCATGTGTGTGTGTGTATATGTATATCAATATGCATATATCTACAAACATATGTCTGTGTAGATCAACGGTCAGAAATACCAAAACGAGCGAGTTGATCTGATAGCGAGGTGAAGCAGACAAGCGAGATATAGGCAGATGCATAATTTACAGAAAGAGCTGGAAAGCTCCACAAGCGCAAGAACTTGGGCACCAAATCTTCCAAGCAGTATCGAACCCGAGGGCCCCAAACCCCCAGCAAACAACATACTGACATAGTTGTATAGAAGACCAAAATATACTCACAGAGCATGGTCGTCATGCTAAGACATAATGTAGCAATTAATAAAGTACTATAATTAGAGTGATGCAACGCAGTATAGTGTAATTTAAGCAACCAAGCGCCCCGGAATGCGGGGGGGCGAGCCTTCGTCTCGTAGTGCTGCTGGACACCCCAGGCACGGTCACGGCAAATGAACGCCTGACACTTACACTGGTTTCGGGTTTGGGGTTTTAAGATGGTTTAAGGTTGAGGGTTTAGGGCACACATGGAACTTCTGAAAGGAGGGCAAACACATAAGCCCTAGCAAGTACTCAGGAACCCCGCATCCTAAACCTCAAGCCTTAAACCGTCAACGCACCCACACCCTGAACGGCCCGAGCGTCGAAATCCTTATATTAAAGCCAAACCTTATAAAGCCCGTATAGAGGCCCGGATAGAACTCTCATCAGACCGCTATAATAGAACTCCAATAACTAAATCTCCTGCATGCCCACATCTAAGCGCTGGCACGACGGCCGGCCTCCTGAAGCGGCTGGCTGCGTTGGGCCTCTTCGACAAAAGATTCTGACGCTCAGTGAAATGAAAGCCCATGCAACATCTCACAAATTCAGATTTAGGGTTTCAGGGTTTACACAACAACGACAGTTGAGGCAGCGTGCATCAACAAAATACAGCTGTGAACGCATTGCAGTGGCCTGCTGCTGGCACGTGTGACACAAGCTGTCGAATGCCTCGCAGCGTTCGTGAGACGTGACGGCGTCTTTAGAAGAAGATGGCGTGTGCCGATGATGATTTGGGCCAGCATACGGTCACATGGAGGATCTTGGCAAGTCACACCCTAAACCATAAACCTAAACCCTAACACAGACACAATACAAACCGCAGGAAACGGCAGCCGATTGGACAACAGCTCAGTGACTCTCAGAAGGGCCGCTGCCTCAGTCCCCAACGCAAGCTGATCCTGCAGCAAGTCGAAGACGACGCGGATCTGACGCACATGGCCCGACCTTACCACTGCTGTACTGATTGATGTTTGAGGGTCTAGGGTCTATGGGGTTTAGGGGTTTGGCGTGCGGTTTAGGGTGCACTCGCACACACCGCTGTACAATCTGTGATATGACAGGTGCAGACCAATGTCGCCACCGATCTGATTGCAAAGTTCTGCCACAGCGGCTGCATGCTATGAGATATGTACCTAGTTCCGAGTGTACCAGACTTGGGCCGTACTGGCACTTAGGTTACACTCTAAACTCTGCAATGGTATGTCCCTTAAACTTGAGGGTCTGGAGAGTACAGAATTTAGGGTAGTTGTGGCTGTAGGCCCATGCACCTCACCAACAATGAGTTAAATCCAGTGGTTGCCTATATCGCCTTTGCCTCTTATGACTTGAGGAGTCCTTGTGTATTATGGGGCATCAGACTTGCAAGTTAAACATGAGAGAGGCCTGCCAGGCTTTAACCGCCGAAGAGCTGAGCCCCAAGTCCCGAAACCCCAAGCCCTAGACTCTAGAGCCCGCAAAGTCTGAAATATCTCCTCTGAAAGGGAACCTAAAAGCTTGAGATGGGACGCCCCACGAACATGTTCACCCTGCAAGGCATTCCATGCGGTATGCTTATGCTAATTTTGTATTTGTCCCGAACAGGGGCTACTGCAGCCCCCTGACTGATCTTCACAGCTACGAGAACCGGAAACATGGTTTAGGACGGGTCCAGGTTTTTGTTTCGTATTTAGTTCTGGGTATTTTTGGGTTTTCGGTTCGATTCATATGCAAAACTTGCAAGAGTCCCAGGGGTGGGCGACAACTGAGGCTGTATTCGAGGTCTTGTTTGGTGATTCTTTTTTATGGTTTCCAGCCCACTGGTCTTCGGCTATCGACCGGTCACTCGGTCTGTACATGCGACGGGCCGACCGCCGGCACCGTCAGTCTACCCGGTTGCCTTCGGTGCCAATGGCTTTACGTTCTTGATGGCACGATGTTCTTGAAAGCATACTTGCGCGGTCCAAAAAGAAAGCGGAAGAGGTGGGCCTCTAGGACGGGCTTCGCAAGGCCTCATCCGAGTTATGTGCTTGACCGGAAATCGCTACTCGCGAAATAGCGTTCTTGACGGTACGACGTTCACTAAAGCACATTCACAGGGTTTAAGAAAGCGGGGGGGAAGGGGGCTTGGACGCAGCACCCCCCAATTCTTGAAAACCCGCCCTCATTTGGCGACTCGGTCAAGCATAAATGTTACACACGCCCCCTCATTTGGCGATAGCGGCTCCTCACATCTCTTAAACACGCCCCGTCATTTGGCGATTCCGGTTCATCACACATCTTAAACACGCCCCCTCATTTGGCGATATCGGTTCATCATATATCTCAAACACTGCCGGACCGACTGACCGACTGTCTGACTGGCTGACTTCCCGGTGCTTGGCGCATGGACCAACCGACCGACCGACTGGCTGACACACCGGCATGAGCACGTACCGACCGACGCACCGACTGACTGACTGACTGACTGACTGACTGGCGGGCTCGCAGGTCGACGGAGGACTGACCGACTGACTTGCGCTGACCGAACGACTGACTGACTGACTGCCCGGCGGGCCCGTCGTTTAACCGACTGACTGGCTGACTGACTCGGCGCTGAACGAAATACAGGCGAAAACCAAAAACGAATACAACCCAAAAAATACTCAAAAAGAACTCCCACCCGTTTAGGACTCTCGGTTGATGGTAACATCTTAACCACTAAACCTCACCCATCACAGAGTCCTGGTTCAGCCCCCCTGCACCCTAAAGTATCCTTCACAGAACCCTTACAGATACCTCCTAGAACCCCATGAGACCCGTGAAGCACCCTTATCGAACCCTTACAAAAGCTCTTGAGCCCTCAACGCCTAAACCCCAAAGCCTAAACTTTTGACCTAAACCCCACACCCTAAAGCCTAAACTCTACCCCAAACCCTAAACCCCAAACCCTAAACCCCAAACCCTAAAGCCCAAACTCTACCCCAAACCCTAAACCCAAACCCTAAAGCCTCAACTCTACCCTAAACCCCAAACTCTAGGACCCTTGAGGGTCTAGAGCTCAGATCCAGGCAGGCAGTGGCTGTCAGGAGTGAAGGCCGCCAGCCGGTCCAAGACGTCCTCTTAGGGGCTGAGGTACCCTGGGCTCAAAAAGGTTAACCTTTCAATTATGGTAGGATTATAGAAGCCCAAAAAGGTTAAAGGTTGCCTACTCCCTCTGGCTCAGCGGGGTGCTTCATGGGCTTCAGGGTTTATAAGGTTTCGGGTTTTGGGCTTATAGGGTTTGGGCTTATAGGGTTTAGGGCTTATAGGGTTTAGGGTTTAGGGGTGTTTTATGGGCCTCTGGCTTCTTGAAGGGTACTATAAGGCGCTTGAAAGGGTCCTATGAGGACTATCTTTACGAGTTCATGCCTTCAGGGTGTTAGGGTTTAGTCTCCATTGTAGTTCCTTTTTGGGGTTACCTATGTGGGATCCTTAATATAGATTTGGTTAGACCAAAATAAGGAACTACAATGGAGCCTATAGGTAGGGTTTCGGGTCCATAATAAGGTTCTGAGGTATGGGGCGGTATACCGTCGAAAGAACATGCTGGTATAGGGCTCCCTAGTATGATTTCTGTGTCCAATTCTCTTCTTCGAAACCATGAATTCTTAAGGCTAGAATTTACGGTCTAGAGCTTTGGGGGCTTCAGGGTTTAATTGTTAAGCAACGTAAACTGAAGGGTCTTTGTTCACAGTACAATAGGGTTATGGAGGCTTTTGGGGTTAAGGGGTGTTCTGTCCAAAGCTCAAGCAGGGTCTCAGAACTTTCGTAGTCTAAATTATAAACCACGCTGTGCCTGTTTAAGGTTTCCTACAGTTTTGTTCTGGTGAGGGTTTTAGGGTCTCGATGGGCCTTTGGGGCTTTGGGGTCTAAGGTCTCCGGTGGAGGGTTTGGGACTTTCGGGTTTTTTTTAGTTCTAGGGCTCCTGTTTTCCCGGGACTTACAGTCTAAGCCCCTCCCCATGTATTTATTAAGAAAAACAGCTGCAAGCAGGTTACGTGATGTGCCGTGGCGAAGCTGTGCAGATGCCTGCAAGCTTAGGATCTGCGACGTCTGGTTTGTGCTTCGGAAACATGTTGCTGTTCTTTGCCAAAAGATCCGCTTCTCTGCTGCAGGCTTTTGAAAGTAGCCGCACCGGTTCTTGCAAGTAGTCCTTCAAATTTATGCCTTGCTGCTGATTGAATCGGAAGAGATTGCACATGAAAAACCCAACTACTCATGCAGTCTTGCCGCAAACCCTAATCTAAGCCATAACCCTAACCCCTGATGCAAACCCTGAGATCTGCACCCAAACCTCAACCATGACTACGGAGTACTACCCACTGCGAACCCATGACATGATACTATGAAAAAACCGGCAGTTTGGGGCTTAGAGTTTAGGGTTCGGGGTTTAGGGCTTAAGGGGACTCACTGATACGGCCCAAAGTAAAGGGACGGCTCGCTGAGTCGTTCATCTCCGAAACGCTGGGACTCCTCCAATGCAACCAACTGCCTAATTCAGGGGCCTTAATAACTAGAATAGGGTTTTGGGGTTCCTTATTATACTTAGAGCATCGGATACCCCCAAACCCCATTCTAAGAATTAAGGCCCCCATAGTAATCCCCGAACCCTGAACCCTATAAGTCCCATGACCTAGGTTGAGTCCCTTCACCCACAACCCTGCCCAAAGCCTTAAATCTTGAGTTGAGCTCAGGCTTTAAATCTTTCAATCGCGAGAACCTCGACCGTTATGCTCTACAAAACCAGGAAAGCCTCAATCCCTGCAAACCCCTGAAACCCTAAACCTCTTGGCCCAACACCCAACACCCTTTACAAAACTCCCCAAAGCTTTACAAACAAAGAAAAACATCCTCAAACCTTCCAATTTTTTCAACATCTTACAAAACGCTACTTTTAGCACCGTAAACCAGATTAAAGCCTCCCTTACATACTATAGGGGCCTTCATGATTAAAATAGGGTTTTCGGGTCCATTATTATACTATAAATATATCCAGGAACCCCCAAAATAGTACTGGTAATTATTTCGGCCCCGCTAGTACACCTTTTGCCAAGGCTCTGATGCATCAAAGTTGCCAGTGTACCGAACGACGCGAGGATTCCATCGAACTCCTCCCAAACTGTTAAACTTCAGCGGTAAGGTGTACAGAGCTGGGGCGTGGGGCGGTTGAGGGGTTGAGGGATTGCAGGTACAAGTATAAGCATTTAGGGCCAATGTGGGGGTTTAGAGTGCTTTGAAGGGGTTGGGGTTCAGTGTTCAGAGCCAAACCGTGGCCCTTGAGCCAGTGAGCATGGAACAACGGGACAAAAAAGCGCTCCTGCCCGGCTTGCGGGGGTAAGTTTAAGGGTTAGGAACTTCCCTGTCCATGTTCCCGGGTTCCCAGAAGCAGCACATCAAATTAGGATTCTAACATACCCCCACCCTAAACCCCCATCCTAAACCCCTAACCCCTAAACCCTAAACCCCTAAACCCCACACCCCTAAACCCTAAACCCCTAATCTCTAAATCCCTAAACCCTAAATCCCTAAATCCCTAAACCCTAAACGTGAGACGATGGCAGAAACCCTGAGTTGTGGACCTTAGGGTGCAAAGCGTCTTGGTGCAGAGTTCGTCAGTTTGCAAGCGGAAGGGTTTCGGGTTTAGGGTATACAATACATGGACCTAACAGACT